GCTAGCTTGAATGTTTGTGCTTGTTGCAAATTAAAAATACATGACATCACACTTAAATCTTCAACATTCAATTTTGTTAGCACAAACTTTATTCATTGGGCTTTAAGCGAAATAATGGTAAACTGATGTGTTTTAAAGTTCTGAGGACCCTAGCTTTTATCACTGTACCTAAAATTACAGTATTCTTTAAAAGTAAAGATTTATTGTTTCCACTGTAAAATATGAATGTTGCGGCAGCGTTTTTCTTTATTTTGAATTTCTTACTATTAGATTTTTTTTTTCTTTAGATGAATCGGAGGAAATCGGAGAGCAGCAGTTCTGAGTCAGACTCCGAGTCTTCAGATGAGGATGACAAAGACAAGAAGAAGAGGGAGATGTCACCAGTCCTCCCTGTTATTGTATGTATAGCTCGTAGAAAGGAACATTTAGTTTTTCCTCTTGACCAATCATAGATTTGCTAACATTTTCTTTGACCAATCAGATTGCATATTATAAAGCATGTGTAACTGTGAATGTAAACATGGCAGATGCCAGTGCAGTTCCAAAGAGACTGAACTTCCTTCTTTAGTATATACAGTAGTTGAGTATTAGTGTTTAGTAACATTGTTGTTCATTTTTAGCTCACCTCGACGAAGTCGAGATGAGCTTATGCTATACCCCTGGCGTTGCCGTCGGCGTTCCAGGTTAAAGTTTTAGGAGCAAGTCCATTCCCAAGTAACTATAAGCCCTACCTGAACCAAACTTGCATGGATGATCATCTAAGGATGTACACTACCAGACTTGATTCGGATGCAGGATCTGACCTACATTTTCCAGATGAGTGACCAGGTTAAAGTTTTTGGAGCAGGTCCATTCCCAAGGAACTATAAGCCCTACCTGAACCAAGCTTGCATGGATGATGCATCTAGGGATGGACACTACCAGACTTGCTTTGGATGCTGGATCTGACCTACATTTTCATTCCCATGTAACTATAAGCCCTACCTGAACCAAACTAGCATGGATGATGCATCTAGCGATGGACACTACCAGGCTTGCTTTGGATGCTGGATCTGACTTATATTTTCATTCCCAAGTAACTATAAGCCCTACCTGAACCAAACTTGCATGGATGATGCATCTAGGGATGGACACTACCAGACTTGCTTCGGATGCTGGATCTGATCTATATTTTCCATACAAGAAACCAGGTTAAAGTTTTGGGTACAGATCAATCCCAATGAACTTGAAGTCCTTGATATCTGGAGTATTAACAAAGTTATGAATATTTGTTTACACTATACATGTTTTTCACGCTTCAGGTGTAGAAATGTGTATATGCCATGTATGGGGTTAAACACAACTTGCAAGAATGTTGTTGTTGGGATAAATACTAAAAATTAAGAAAATATGATGTGAGACTTGCATTACTGATAACATTTGTCGAGGTGAGCTTCATAATCTTTGATTACCTATGCTTAAACAATTGTTAAGCTGTTACAAAATAATTATAATGTTTTGGTACACATGAGTATTAATATTGGATGCTGACAAGAGCTAAGGTATCAAACATTTTGTAAAATCCCTGCTTGAAGTTTGTTAGGTGCAACATGTAGCAACTAATAATTAGATAGGTGCTATTGCCCTTTAGACAGGTGCTATATAAAGCTTTACTTATACAACCCTTTTATCTAATTTCAGAAGCAGAGTCCACGACAACCAAGCAGCCCAGCAAATAGACAACCCAGCAGCCCAAGGAAGAGGAAACCTTCTTCTTCTTCCTCTTCCTCCTCTTCTTCTTCTTCCAGTGAGGAGGATGAAGGAAATAAAACTGTTGTCAAGGTAACCAGACATGTTTAATCAAGGTTTTCAGACAAGATTTCTTAAAGTCAAAATGTGATATTAAATATTATAATGAAAAAACTGCCCCCATTAGCAATTATAGAAGTATCCGGGGCGATTAATAGAGATTTTACAGAATAAGGCCATTATCTATATGACACATTTATCTAATATCAGGTGAAGAGTCCACAAAAGCCCAGCACCCCCAGGAAGAGGAAACACTCTTCCTCCTCTTCTTCTTCTTCCAGTGAGGAGGATGAGGGAAATAAAACTGTTGTCAAGGTAAACAGACATGTTTAATCAAGGTTTTCAGACTTACAAAAATGTTGTATAAGACCAAGCCTACAAGTACATGTTAAGTGTGTAGGAAAAGAAGCATATTGATTTAAAAGAGGATAAATAGTCATTTGTATAATTCAGAGATTTTAAGTAAATACACAATCTAGGGGCAACACAAACCAGTATTTATATTTCATTACCTACCACTGCATATGTTGATCATTTTTCAGAAAAGTCCGAAGAAGACCGTATCACCTCGAAAGAAAATGTTCTCCTCCTCTGTCTCTGAGGACGAAACTGATGACACCTCAGAGAACGACAAAAAGGATAAACAGGGCTCCCTGAAGGTAGATAACACTTCCAGTGTGAAGACTACCCCCTTCATCTAATCCTAATCCAAGTCTACATTATAAAGATTGGGACTTTCAGAATTTTTTTTACATGTATATTGGCCCCATATTTTGGAGAATTTTTTTTATTTTAAAGATCAAATCTGTTGCTGGTTTTAAATTTGTAAACAATTAATTTAATTCAATTGTAAAACATCTGCATAAAAATATCATTCAAAAAGTATTTTTATTAAGTTTGATACATATTTTAGATTAAGGTGAGAAGAAAGTTATTCTTTAAGATTGCACTTTGTCAGTCATTATTTGTAAATTTCTAAGATTACCCGCCGGTACATTTTTTTTCTTCACATAATGTTCCTATATATATCAAGATAAAAATGTAGCCAATTGTAATCTGAATTGTTTGGAAAGTTTCTAACTCATACATTTGTAAAATTTGACTGAATAAATTTTGTAGAATTATCCTACATTGATTTCCATTGTACAGTAAATTTCATTCTTATTTCTTAAGAATTTTGGGACAGCTGTTTAGTTGGGTTTTTTTTATCTTAGTCCTCTCTTTATACTGAATTTCTCTCAATTCCAGTCTCCTTTTCCTCAGAAGATGAAAACAACAAGCAGCCTTAAGGCTCTCAAAAAGAAGAAGTCCAAGTCAAACTCTGGGAAGGGAATCCCGCAAACCTTATAGAATCATATGACACTGAGGCAGCCTCAATAAAGGAAGAGAAAGATCCTTAGAGAAATAAACGTGTGACTAATACCAGGGTTATGTGACACTGAAAACATTGTGTGACTAATACCAGGGTTATGTGACACTGAAAACATTGTGTGACTAATACCAGGGTTATGTGACACTGAAAACATTGTGTGACTAATACCAGGGTTATGTGACACCTAGGCAGCCTAGATGAAGGAGGGGAAGGACTCATAGACAAACAAACATTGTGTGACTAATACCAGGGTTATGTGACACCTAGGCAGCCTAGATGAAGGAGGGGAAGGACTCATAGACAAACAAACATTGAGTGACTAATACCAGGGTTATGTGACACTGAGGCAGCGTAGATGAAGGAGGGGAAGGACCCATAGAGAAACAAACATTGTGTGACTAATACCAGGGTTATGTGACACTGAGGCAGCGTAGATGAAGGACCCATAGAGAAACAAACATTGTGTGACTAATACCAGGGTTATGTGACACTGAGGCAGCGTAGATGAAGGACCCATAGAGAAACAAACATTGTGTGACTAATACCAGGGTTATGTGACACCTAGGCAACCTAGATGAAGGAGGGGAAGGACTCATAGACAAACAAACATTGAGTGACTAATACCAGGGTTATGTGACACCTAGGCCACCTAGATGAAGGAGGGGAAGGACTCATAGACAAACAAATGTTGAGTGACTAATACCAGGGTTATGTGACACTGAGCCAGCGTAGATGAAGGAGGGGACACATTACTAGTGTAACATTGAGGTCCACTTACAGACAAACTATCATGTCGGCTAGAATTAATACATGTATTTCAAATATATCTGTGACACATATACATTCTGACATAAGATGCAATTTTAGCATTGCCTGTAGATTATTCCTTGGTTTTATATCTCCATGTTTCATTTTATATAATCTTTTTGTTTGTCAAAGGAAAATTAAGTTTCCTTTTATGTATTTTAAGTTTTCCACATAGCAAAAATCAAAACACTTTTAAGTCATGTTCATAATGTACTATCTTGCAGATAAACCTTATTTTGGAGTAAATTTACAGTTTCTTAGATGATTAGGATTATATCGAGAGTGTTTATATATAATCATGATAATGCACAACATTGACATTTTTAAATAACTTTTTTTTAACTGATTTGGGTCTCTGTTAATTGCTAACAGAACAATGATGATGTGTTCAGATTATAAATGGCAGCTGTTGAGTGAATATTGTGTAATATATTGTAAATATTATATAGATATATATACAGATTTAGGTCATTGGGATCCTCAGATCACTACAGTATTGTAGGTAGAATTGTATGTAAACAGAGACCACATTTGACACATTTATTGGGCTTTGATATTTTAGATAGATTAAGTACATGTACATGAAAACTTCCAGTGTAAACAGTATACAATTTTGTATAATTAATATATCTTTATATTATCACTTTTTGTATTCATATTTTTATTATCTATAATTAACGAAGCTTTATGATTGAAGGATACATCCATTGTCCATACTATCAAGATCATTATGCTGAACTCAGTATCAAGTGTAGCGAGATT